CGGCCAGGTCTTCCGGCCCAGCCACCCCTTCGAGCGCTTCGACGCGGAGTACCGCCAGCAGTTCCAGTTCGAGCGGCTGCCTGAGGGCGAGGGCGGCCACATGCCCGTGATCCTGGTGTGGGGCATCCTGCCCGTAGACACTGGGGACCCCCTGGACCCTCGCAGCAACAGCTCCCTGGTCAGTGACCCGGCCTTCTCTGCCAGCAGTCCCGAGGCCCAGCGCTGGCTGCTGGCACTCTGCTACGGGGCTCGGAACCAGAGTTTCTTTGGTGCCCAGCCAGAGGGCTGGCCCACGCTGTGCTTCGTGGAGGCCCTCCAACACTGGATGGGGAGTCCCGGTTGTGCTCGCCTGGGGCCTGGCCTCTGCTGTGGCCCCTCGGGCTTCCCCTGGGCACCGGAGCTTTTCCTGCACTGCCTCAAGATGATGGCTCTGGAGCAAGGCCCAGACAGCACCCGGGACCTGGGGCTCCGCTTCAATACCCAGGGCAGCCTGGCTGCCCTGGTCCTACAGTTCCAGACCAGCTTCCAGTACAGCCCGAACTACAGCCAGGCCCACCACTTCTACACTGAGGTCAGCCACTGGCTGGCCGCGGAGCTGAGCAGGGCACCTCCCGGCCTCCGCCAGGGCTGGTTCACCAGCCGTCTGGAGCTGTACAGCCTGCAGCACAGCCTGAGCACCGAGCCCGCCGTGGTGCTAGGCCTGGCTCTGGCGCTGGCCTTTGCCACGCTGCTGCTGGGCACCTGGAACGTTCCACTCAGCCTGTTCTCCGTGACAGCGGTGGCAGGCACGGTACTGCTCACCGTGGGGCTCCTGGTTCTGCTGGAGTGGCAGCTCAACACTGCGGAGGTGCTCTTTCTCTCTGCCTCCGTGGGCCTGTCGGTAGACTTCACTGTCAATTACTGCATCTCCTATCACCTTTGCCCACACCCGGACCGCCTGAGCCGCGTGGCCTTCTCACTGCGCCAGACCAGCCGCGCCACAGCCATGGGGGCTGCAGCCCTGTTTGCCGCGGGTGTGCTCATGCTGCCTGCCACGGTGCTGCTCTATCGCAAGCTGGGCATCATCCTCATGATGGTCAAGTGCGTCAGCTGCGGCTTCGCCAGCTTCTTCTTCCAATCTCTCTGCTGCTTTTTTGGGCCGGAGAAGAACTGTGGGCAGATCCTCTGGCCCTGTGCCCACCTGCCATGGGACGCCAGAGCTGGAGAGCCAGGTGGGGAGAAGGTAGGCCGCCCACGACCAGGGCCACCGGGGTCCTGCTCAGAGCAGTATGAGCTACAGCCCCTGGCACGGCGCCGGAGCCCCAGCTTTGACACCAGTACAGCCACCAGCAAACTGTCTCACAGGCCCTCTGTGCTCTCTGAGGATATACAGCTTCACGATGGCCCCTGCTGCTCCCGGCCCCCCCTGGCCCCTGCCTCACCAAGAGAGCTGTTCCTGGACCACCAGGCGGTCTTCAGCCAGTGCCCAGCCCTGCAGACCTCCTCCCCTTATAAGCAGGCTGGCCCCAGCCCCCAAACCCAGGCCAGGCAGGACTCCCAAGGACAGAAGGCTGAGCCCGTGCAGGCCTCACCAGAAGCCTCAGCCCCAGCCCACGCCCCCAAGCCCAAGGCTGCAGAGCCCCCTGATTGCCTCTGCTCCTCAGCCAGCACCCTGGAGGGGCTCAGCGTCTCCGACGAGACCTGCCTAAGCACCTCTGAGCCCAGTGCCCGAGTACCAGACTCCATGGGTGCCTCCCCAGACGACCTGGATGAAACTGAGCAATCAGTACCTGAGCGAGGCCAGCTGAACGGGAAGCGGGACACCCTGTGGCTGGCGCTGAAGGAGACTGTGTACGATCCATCACTGCCTGCCTCCCACCAGAGCAGCTCGTCCTGGAAGGGCCGAGGGGGGCCAGGGGATGGCAGCCCTGTGGTGCTGCCCAACAGCCAACCAGATCTTCCAGACGTTTGGCTGCGCAGGCCCAGCACCCACACTTCAGGCTATAGTAGTTGAGAGTGGCCCAGGAAGGCCAGATCAGGGTACAGAGCCTGGACCAGGGTGCAGGCAGGGACAGCATCAGGCCGGAGCTTGATGGTGTTTTCCCATGTCAGCATGGAGAGGCCTCACCCTTCAGCCTTGGATTTTAAACCCTGCCAGATATTCCAGCCTTGGTCCGGGCTGCTGCTTACACCCCACGTCTGGAGGATTCAGTGGGGAGAGTCTTTGGAGGGGAAACGCCCCGCTCTCCTTGTGACCTGCTGAGGGCTCCTGAGCCCCCACAGTGCCAACCAGGACCCACCCCAGGGTATCTCACCAAGCAGGAGTCCCGGGGAATCTCAGCAGCCTCCTGGCCTCGTGCTTTTCAGGGGCTCTTTATCAGGACACTTGCTTCTCTTTGGGGAGCTTCTCTGTGCCAGAGTGGGTCTGGGGCCTCTGTCCTGAACTGCCCTGCTCCCCTCACTCACCCAGTCTGACCAGAAGTTCAAGGCCAAGCTTGAGGTGGCGGGAGCAGGAGGAGGGCTGCTCAGCCTCAGAGCATCCCTCTTATATTGCAGGCTGGTCCTTCCTAGGAAGCTGCTGTGGCAGGGAGAGTGGGTGCCCCTGTTAATTGGAATCCTTTCCATCACTGCCTTAGTTTACGGAACACTTCCGTACTTGTCTCCTTGGAATCTCACTTCACGGTGGGGTAGCCTGCAGTTGGCCAGGTTCTTTGGCCCCCAACTAAGTTGATTTACCCAAAGTCACGTAGCTAATAAATGACAAAGCAGGATCCCACACTCACTCCACCACTACAGCTCCCACTCTCCTGGCCACCTATCCCAAGGCTGTCCTGATCTTTTACCTCTAGCACCTTCCTGTGACCTGCCTTCTCAGATGTCTCTGAGTAAGCCCCACTCTCTCCCCCCACCCCACTTTACCTTCATTTCCAGAGCAAGCCTGGAGTTCCTCCCCATCATCTCTGTGTGTCACTCCAAATTCAGCTGAGATGCCTCCTGGCCATAGGGTATCCTGGCTAATCTGATTCCCAGGTTCAGAGTGAGGGGCATACCTCCTCTGGAGAGCCCCCACCGGAAGAGACACTGAAGGAAGTAGAGGTGGAGCAGAGTTCAATTAAGGCAAGAACTCAGGGCTGCCCCTTTTGGGACTGTGAGGGTCTGAAGCTGTTCCCCAGGTAGGGTCCCCAGCTTCCTAAGGACAGGCGTCCCTGGTGGCCAGCAGCAGACCAAGGGCTGAATCCTCCTCTCCACATCAGTGAGTCTCTTTGGAAGGTTTTATCCCCTGTAAGAGCTTATGACGCTCAGAGCATCAGCAACTTACTGAACACCTACTCTGCATATGGTACTACACGGGGCAGAGGAAAATCGACATCTTCCCTCAAGGAGCTCACCTTCTGACCAGGGAAACAGTCCACACATCTGTGCCTGTCACCCTCAGTATTGCTGGAGCTCGAGTACCAGGACTGGGTAACCAGGAAGGCTTCCTGGAAGAGGAACAACTTGCACTGGGCTTCAGAATCCTAAGTATCTCAGACTGGAAGGAATGGTCCTCCGCTCCAGCAGTTTTCAAACTTTGTAGCCGCAGGACCCTTTCTTCAAAGAATTATTGTATGGAAACACAGTATATAAAACAGATCAAAAGCAGCTACTCTGGTGGGTGCTGGGTGGGGAGTACAGCTCAGCCCTCCTTTCCTCTGTGCCTGGGAAACCCCTCAAACTCTGAAGGCTCCACAGAACGTGGTGTGAAAACCCCTGATTCAGGCCATTTTACAGATGAGTATCACAAAGGGGAAGGGAGTTCTCTAGGAACAAACAGTCTGGCAGAGCTGGAGACAAATCAAGGAGTGTTTTGGTTTTTCCTGTGTTGTTGAGACTCGCCTCTCACCCAAGTAGCTCATGAAGTGGGACAGAAACCCAAATGAGACGCAGGATTTGAAGACACAGAAGGCTGTGGGCAAGATAAGTAAATCAAACCCATTGGACTCCTGACACTAGGAAGGGAGGGTAGTGACGAGGACATAACTTGGACCTGCCCCGCAGAGATCTCCATGTCCAAGTAGAATTCAGCCTCTCTGGCCTAGGGCTGCTCATCGGGACTGTCTATGGACTGTCCTCCTGCTATCACACAGCCAGGCTGAGAGGCCCTGGTCTCATCTGGGACCATCAGCTCCCAGAGGGAGGACAGGTGAGCCCTTCCTCCTGAGCATGAACAGAAGTCTGGCCTTGACTCAAAAGAGAGTCCAGCATCTTAGTTGCTTCTCAGCAACTCACTGTTGTGGGAGGGCAGCAGGCACCTGGACCAAAAAACCCTGCTCCTCCACACCCTTTTTTGAAGGGTCTCAGGTTCAATGCTGGTCAAAGGCATGTACCTCGATCCTGGGCCCCAGTCTGGGCGTGTGCAGTAGGCAACCAATTGATGTGTCTCTCTCACATCAATGTTTCTCTCTCTGTCTCTCCCCCTCCCTTCCACTCTGTCTAAAAACTCAATGGAAAAAATATCCTTGGGTGAGGATTAAAAAAAAAAAGGATGGCCCAAACCAACAGCAGGCACCCCACTCCAGCAGGTAATCCAGCCACCTCTCCAGCCTCGGTTTTAGAAAGCAGGATTTAAAGCATTTTCAATTTCCTTTGACTTTAGCAGTTCTATTCCCTTTATTATTGTTACAGGTGATTACAATGAATGTGTGGACCTGGACACATGTGGGGAGAGGCTTAGAAGCATGTTATGAGGCAGGGGAAAACCAGTCAAAGCATTCACATTTGCTCTTGAAAATTGCAGAAATGATTTCTTAATACCGAGACACTTTAAAATAGAAGTCCATTAAAGTTCTCTTGGGACTTGAGAGTATTTCTCCCATTTGTGCCACTGATCCTTGAACTCACACTCAGAGTATGTGTGCTGTGTTTTTAAAATGCAACTTGGTATAGTTTGTTACAATGGGAAAGCCCATCCTTCCATGGCTGTGGTGCTTTGATGACGGTGGGAGACAGAGATTGATGTGACCGCAGAATCTTAGATTTTTACTGGCACATGGCATATCCCATCCCATAATAGTCAGTATCCCAAGTTGAGCCTGGTTCTGAAAGAGACATCTCACGAGAGATGTACAAGCCAAATGTCCTCAGCCCCCTCCGATTTCATTCTTCTCCCAGTGCACAACAGGACAGGAGGCAGGTGCGGGGCAGCAGTTTTACAATCTTCACGTTGTCTGGAGAGTTTCGGATCTTTTCTTCCGTGTTGGCCTTATCTCAGCCTTTGATAATACACACGGGCAATGACAAGCTCTCTGGCACCCCACGCACACATCAAGATCCCATTAGCTTGGGGATAGGAAAAACAGACATTCCAAACCCTTTCTACCCTGACCCCTGTTCACAGGGGCGACTGTAACTCAAGGTCTGGAGGTGTTTATGCTTAAGAGAAGAAATTGTAACATAATTCGTTAGGAAGATGAGAAATAAAAGAAAACCATTATGTGCTATGTAAATGGCTGGCAGTCCAAAGCCACCCTGTAACTGAAGAGCCCTGGAAGGACCTTGATAAACTATAATTATTATCAGGCCTCTGTGTGATTATTCACCGTTATCTCTCAATATAGGGGAAGGATCAGCATTTTACTGTTAGGCCTACTCAAATCATTGAATGGATACCCTCTCCCCTGGGAATGGACCTTTAGATCATTTCACAACCGACATTCCCTTTCACTTAGACCACATTCCATTTGCTAAGACCATTATCCTTCCCACCCAGAGAATTCTCCACTCAGAAAAAGCCCTTTAAAATCTCTGACTCCTCATCCCGGGGTGTTGGCACCATTTTGGGGCTCAGCCCATCTGGGTTTCCAGATGACCTAATACATTTATAATTCTTTACCCCTTTTGGCCTTGTGCTCCCCGCTGACAACCCTAACATTTACCAAATTCATAAATATCAAGCAAGAGCTTTAGTATTGCTAAAGAAAATCACACAGCTGGGCAGATTGATGTAGATCTGAATTCATGACCACCAACCTCAACTGGACCCTCAGCCCTGAGTTACCAGTTTCCATTCTTTGTCATGACCATTTCATACTTTTTCGACCTTCCTCAAATATCTGATGCCCATATCCATCTTCCACAACCCCACTGTCAGTAGACAACTCATTCTTCATAAAGAAAGCTGGAAATTGACTCACCTCGAGGCGTCAAGTCCCCAGCTCACCTAGCCCTGCTCCTGCCTGCTTCTGTCCCCATCCCTTCTATCAGCACAAAGGAAGCAGTAATGGTTCCATCAATGGCTTCACACGGCACAAGAGGTCTTCAAACAAGGGCTTGCACTCCCACAGGGACATGAAGACTTTCCAAAAGGTAGGTGGGCACAGACAGTTTAAGGAAATCAATTTCCAGAGCGTCCTCCTTTCTCTGTTCCCTCTCTTTATATTGATCAGCCTAAGAAGGAGGCGTGGGTCAGTCAGTTCTTCTCTATCTCCATTTTCCCAGTTGACCCCTCCCTCATGTTGAATCCTACTCTGGCAACTCTCTCAGAGGACAACTTGAGAATACTCTGCTTGAGGGAGTCCTTGAAGGAGCAAAGCCTAGAGAGCCTCCATGAGAAGTTTCAGTTCTGTGCCTTCTCCATTTAATTTGAATTATTTGAATTGAAAAACAAAATTAAGAACAAAAAAATTAAATAAAAAATTGAAAATCGGACATTTTGTAATAGAAAGTCAATCTGATTTGGCAGATGAGTTTGACACAGAGGACTGGCTTTGCAAATAGGATATATGGTGGACATTTTCCAAAATTAGAATCATTTAAATCTGAAGCTTCATGATTTGAACAAAAATATATTTAAAGTACATATACAACGTTCCCTTCTAGCCAAGATGGAGTAGCAGGGATCAGATTTACCCTCCTTCCTGAAACAACAACCAAACAGGAAAAAAAATGAAACAACATTTTTCATGACACTAGATATCAGCCCTGATAGACAAGAAACAAATGAAGTGGGCCCTCTAATTGCTCAGATTACTGCTTGAGAGAGTTTGCAGATATATTGCAGGATAAGAGACCCCAGGCAGGGTCATGTAGACTTCCTGAGCTAAGGAGATAGCTCAGGGTTTGGGGCAACCAAGGTAGCTAGAGAGCTCAGGACACAATACTGAATAGGAGAAAGGTACAGAGAGAGAGTTCTGGAGATCTGCAAAGGGCCTCCCTGAGTGTTCTGCAGAGCACTGCTCAACAGAAAAATGTGAGGAAACTACTTGAGACCAAGGAAAGAACCACCCAAAATGATTAGAAGGAACAGTAGTCACTAGTTACACAGGGCTGGAACATAGTCTTTTCCCATTAGCCAGACTGAAAAACCTCATAATTTATGGAGCATTGGTTAGAATTTTCAAAAAGTTCTTGGCTCAGTTTTGGGGACTCGTTAGACCTAGTTTAAACACTGATTGCTCTCACCTAATAAATCTCAAAAGCAAGACCTGAAGGGATCAAACTGTTTCTAAGTAATGTAATGTTATCCCAGAACAAACCTTCAGAATATTACAGGAATACAAAAATAACCAGCACCCAAAAACATAAAATTCACAATGTCTGGGGTCAAATAAAAAATTACCAGTCATGCAAAGAAGCAGAAAAATATGACCCATAGTGAGGGGAAAATCAATTGATACCAATCCAGAACTGATACTTATATGAGAATTACCTGACAAGGACATAAAAAAGTTATTGTAACTGTAAGCCATGTATTCACATAGCTAAGTGGAAACTTGGAAGGTATTTTTAAAATATGCAAATTGAACTTGTAGAGATGAAAAAATCACTGGATGGAATTAAAAACAGTTTAGACCAGTGATGGCAAATCTATGACACGCGTGTCAGAGGTGACACGCGAACTCATTTTTTTGGTTGATTTTTCTTTGTTAAATGGCATTTAAATATATAAAATAAATATCAAAAATATAAGTCTTTGTTTTACTATGGTTGCAAATATCAAAAAATTTCTACATGTGACACGGCACCAGAGTTAAGTTAGGGTTTTTCAAAATGTTGACACAGCGAGCTCAAAAGGTTCGCCATCACTGGTTTAGACACTGCAGAAAAAGATTAGTAAACTTGAAGACATAGAAAATTACCCAAAATGAAATATCAAAAGAAAAACTAATTTTAGAAATGAATAAATATGATGCATAATATATAATAAGTTGAAAGTATATGTCCTTTATAAATATTTAAAATTATGAAAACATTTATTAGGCATCAACTGAAACATTGTTTTTTTGTCTTGTTATTTTGTGGGGGTATATGAACAAAAGAACTTGAAGATGCTGCTGTAGATCCATCTTCCATCCCTCTTTCTCTATGACTTTACTCCTTTGACCATCCCCTCTCCCCTCTGAAGCATCCTTTTCTTCCTCTCAGCTGGCACGTGTATCAAGTAGTATCTGCACCTTCAAGCACCCAACCCACCTCCAGTTACTGCTTAACTGCTCCTCCATTCACAAGCTCTCAGTCTACACCTGCCATCTCCGCCTCCTCCTCTCATGCACTCTTCAACCTGCTCCCACATGGCTGCCACTCAAACCTCTGCACCAGACTTTCTCTTCCTATACTCACCAGTGACTTCTTTGTTGCTAAATTAAATGGATCCTTTTTCTTTCTCATCTCACTTACCCGTTCGTGTTGATTTTCAATAGTTTACCATTCCCTCCTTCACTCCTTCAGCAGTTTTCCTTCTTAGCTTCTAGGACACCACCACCCCTTTTTTTTTCCCCCTTCTCACCTCTCTGGCACCTCTTTTTCATGTTTCCTGGCTGGCACCTCCGTATTACAACTTCTAAATGCTGCTGTCCCTAAGGCTCTCTGTGCACTTCTTCCCTTGGTGATCTCCTCCGATATTGTGGATTTAAATGCATCCATATACCCATAACTCCCAAAGTGTATCTCCAACCTAGACTCTCTTCTGGGCTCAAAGCCTATATTTCCCATTGGCTACCTAATAGTTTAAACACCTGAATGTCTCAGAGGCATTTCAAGCTTACCATGTTCAAAACTAAATGCTCAATCTCCCCACAACACAAAGTAGTGGTTCTAATCACCTAATTATTCAAGCCAGGGAGTCATCCTTAAGATTTCCCTCTCCCTTCTCCTCCACTCCCTGCCCCCCTTCCAATCTAGCACTGAGTTCTGAGATCCGATCTCCAGAAGTTGTCTTAAATGTATCTGATTGTCTCTTCGTTTCCACGAATACCACCACCCTCATGGCCAACCCACCATCTTCTCCCACTTGAATGATTACAGTAGCCTCCCAATTGTCTTCCTAGTTCCATTCTTGCCCCCTACCAACCCATTCTCTGGGGTAGCCAGAATGAGCTTTAAAAATATGTATATATGTTTTTTTTAAATTGATTTCAGAGAGGAAGGGAGAGGGAGAGAGAGATAGAAACATCAATCATGAGAGAGAATCATTGATTGGCTGCACACCCTTTACTGGGGATTGAGCCAAAAACCCCGGGCATGTGCCCTGACTGGAAATCAAACTGTGATTTCTCCTGGTTCACAGGTTGATGCACAATCATTGAGCCACACTGGCCTAGCCAGAATGAGCTTTTTAAAATATAACTTGAACCCGGCTCAGTGGATTGAGCATTGTCCCTTGTATCAAGAGGTCTCCAGTTTGATTCCTGGTCAGAGTACATGGCCCAGTTGGAGCTGGATCCGAGGTAGGGGGCATGCAGGAGGCAATCTATTGATCGATCGATAGATTTATGTTTCTATCTCCCTCTCTTTTCCTCTCTATCTAAAAATCAATAAAAGCATATTTTAAAAATAAATAAAATATAATGTGAAGAATACTCTCCTGCTCTACTCCTATCCTATATAATAAAAGCCTAATATGCAAATTGACCGAAGGGCAGAACGACCAGTTGCTAATGATGTGCAATCGCTGGCCAGGCCTAGGGACCCTATCCATGCAGGAATTTCGTGCACCGGCCCTCTAGTACTTCGATAACTTCCCATTACTCTTTAGATAAAATCTAATCTCTTTACCTTTGGCCTACAAAGGCTGCCATTCTTCCAACTCTATCTGTACCACTCTCCTTGAATTTTTCAGTCCCTTCTAGGAGAAAAGCCCATTCCAGCCTTAGGACTTTGCATCTCTGCCCCTCCCCCACCAATAATCAGATTAAGTCCCACTTATCCTGACATCACTGGGACGTGGTCCCTTAAATGTAAACTTGCTTTCCCTGCTTTTCTCTCGCAGAACATTGTACTCTTCCTTCATAGTTTTACTACAGTTGGCAAATATATGTCTATTTGACATACATCCAGCTTTATTGAGATATAATTGACAAGTTCATATGATTATTTGTTCGCTAGATTGTAAGCTCCAGGAGCGCAGAACCAAGGTCTCAATACTTGTCTCTCTCCTCTTTCTCGCCCCCTCGCCCCCCCCCCCCCCCCCCCCCCCCACACACACACACTCACACACTTAGTGTAGTGCCCGGCACACAGCAGGTGCTCCAATTTGTAGCGTGAAATGATCAAGTTAGAATTGCCTGTAGGCGCCTCAGGGATTTCAGCCCACAGGCCCGCTTCCAACCCCATCTGCCACTCCCCAGCCTGTAACGGGTAGTTTTACGCCCATTGAAATACCCTTTGCGCCAGGCACTCAGGCGGCGTGCAATGTCCCTGACCATCGCGGACCAAACAAAGAGAAGGATTGTGACATGGACTCTAAACTTGGCTGCGTCTGCGTCCCGAGCTGGAAAGTGACGCCGGCGGGTCACAGCTCCATTCAGGCCCACAAAGAGCACCACTCCCCGCCGCGGCCCAGGTCCAGGGACTCCACCACCACCCGCCGCGGGAACCGGTGAGGCT